AGGCTACCACCAAGGGCATAATCTCAACATGGCGCTTGATGAAGAACGCGAAGAGCAAAAAGGGTGCCAAGGGCAAAGGCGGCGACGACAACGCTGTCGATGGCACGCGCCCCTCGCACGAGACCCGCAGAGCATCCATCGCATCGCACAGGGAATCCTACTTTGGCGGCGAGAACGACATCCAGATGACACCCGTGCCTTCGCCGCTCCCAGGCCAATCCCCAGCGCAATCCCCTCCATTGACGTCCGGTCCAGGAGAAGGAGACAAGATCCGCGGTGCAGACGCCAATCCCGGTGTGCAAAAGAAGTTCTGGGGAAGCGTCCTGAACCCGAACAAGACGGTCCCGGAAAAGGCACGTTTCAAGAAGGACGCGTGGAAGAACGTTCAGGTCGGCGACTTTGTGCGCCTTTACAACGACGAGGAGATCCCCGCCGACGTTATTGTTCTCTCTACCTCTTCCGACGACGGCGCGTGCTATGTCGAGACGAAGAACTTGGACGGTGAGACGAACCTCAAGGTGCGCAACGCACTGCACTGCACCCGAGAAGTGCGACACGCTCGACACTGCGAACGCGCCGACTTCGTCATCGAGAGTGAAGGCGCCCACTCGAACCTCTACTCGTACAGCGCGGCCATCAGATGGCAACAACACAATGCAAAGGACCCCGAAGCCCCGCCGTACGAGATGGTCGAGCCCATCTCCATCAACAACCTCATCCTCCGTGGCTGCCAACTTCGAAACACCGAGTGGGTATTGGGCGTTGTCGTCTTTACCGGAGAAGAGACAAAGATCATGATCAACTCTGGTATCACGCCTAGCAAGCGAGCCAGGATATCAAAAGAACTTAATTGGAACGTTGTATACAACTTTTTCATCCTGGCCGCCATGTGTCTGGTTTCTGGAATCGTGCTTGGGGTGACATGGGCCCGGGACGACACCACCCATTCCTTCTTCGAATATGGGTCCTACGGAGGTAATCCTGCCACAGACGGTGTCATTGCGTTTTGGGCTGCCGTCATTCTTTTCCAGAATTTGGTTCCCATTTCTCTCTACATCACCTTAGAAATCATTCGGACGTTGCAGGCCCTCTTCATCTACAGCGACATCCACATGTACTACGCAAAGCTCGATTACCCATGTACGCCCAAGTCTTGGAACATCTCCGACGACGTGGGTCAGGTCGAATACATCTTTTCGGACAAGACGGGAACACTCACACAAAACGTTATGGAATTCAAGAAGGCGACCATCAACGGTGTGCCCTATGGAGAGGCGTACACGGAGGCTCAAGCAGGTATGCAACGCAGACAGGGTATCAATGTCGAAGTGGAGGGTGCCAAAGCCCGTGAACAGATAGCACGCGACCGTGTGCGGATGCTCGAGGGGATCCGCAAGATGCACAACAACCCCTACTTGTGGGACGACGACCTGACTTTCATTGCCCCGGACTACGTCGACGACCTGCGTGGAGACTCTGGAATGGAACAGAAGAGAGCTAACGAGGAATTCATGATCGCTTTGGCCCTCTGTCATACCGTTGTTACCGAACGCACTCCAGGCGACCCACCGAAGATCGAGTTTAAAGCACAATCGCCCGACGAAGCTGCACTTGTGGCGACTGCTCGCGACTGTGGTTTCACATTCGTAGGCCGCGAAGACGACCGTCTCGTTGTCAATGTTTTGGGAGAAGAGCGTAAATACCAAGTTCTCAACACTCTCGAGTTCAACTCCAGCAGGAAGCGCATGAGTGCTATCATCAGAATGCCCGACAACCGAATCGTCCTCTTCTGCAAGGGAGCCGACAGCATGATCTACTCGAGATTGATCCCCAACGAGCAGCGACAACTCCGTGCCGATACCGGTGAACACCTGGAAATGTTTGCACGAGAAGGACTCCGAACACTGTGCATCGCTCAAAGAGAAGTTTCCGAAGAGGAATATCAAGAGTGGAACAGGGACTACGACATCGCTGCCAACGCTATTCAGGGGCGTGAAGATAAGCTGGAAGAGGTCTCCGATCGCATCGAAAACCACTTGTGGCTCATCGGAGGAACTGCTATCGAAGATCGACTTCAAGACGGTGTGCCAGAGTCGATTTCTCTCCTCAGTCAAGCTGGTATCAAGCTGTGGGTCCTAACGGGTGACAAAGTTGAGACAGCCATCAACATTGGTTTCTCTTGCAACCTGCTCGACAACGACATGGACCTCATCATTCTCAAGGTTACAGATGACAACATCGGTTCCGTGGAAGCCCAGCTTGACGAGAAGTTGAAAATCTTCGGCTTGGAAGGCTCAGAAGAAGAGCTAGCCGCCGCTCAAAACGATCACGAACCACCACCACCTACGCATGCCATCATCATTGACGGAGATACTCTGAAGCTGGCTCTGGATGATTCGGTAAAGAGGAAGTTCCTTCTTCTGTGCAGGCGATGCCGATCCGTTCTCTGCTGCAGAGTTAGTCCCAGTCAGAAGGCAGCTGTCGTCAACATGGTGAAGACCGGCCTGGACTGTCTCACTCTTGCAATCGGAGACGGTGCCAACGATGTCGCTATGATTCAAGAAGCCCATGTCGGTGTCGGTATCGCTGGTGTTGAGGGACGCGCAGCCGTCATGTCTTCTGATTACGCCATTGGTCAATTCCGCTTCCTCACCCGTCTGGTACTTGTCCATGGTCGATGGTCCTACCGCAGACTTGCAGAGACGATTGCCAACTTCTTCTACAAGAACATCATCTGGACGTTCTCTCTCTTCTGGTACCAGATTTACACCAACTTCGACAGCCAGTATATCTTCGACTACACGTACATTATCTTCTTCAACTTGGCGTTTACGTCACTCCCTGTTATCGTCATGGGTGTTCTGGATCAGGATGTCGATGATAGAGTATCTCTGGCCGTTCCACAACTGTACCGTCGTGGTATCGAGCGGAAGGAATGGAGTCAGCCGAAGTTCTGGTAAGTACAGTATACTCAGAGCGTATGAAAGATTGCTAACATTCTCCAGGGCTTACATGGTCGACGGTATCTACCAATCCGCGGTCGCTTTCTTCTTCTTGTATGAGATCTTCGCACCCGCTACCTTTGCGACCTCTAACGGACTGGACCTGGCTGAATTCCGACGCATGGGCATCTATGCTGCGACCACCGCCGTTTGCGCTGCCAACATTTACGTGTTGTACAATACCTACCGTTGGGATTGGCTCATGGTCCTCATCGTCGTCATCAGTACTCTCTTCATCTGGTTCTGGACTGGAGTGTACACCTCTTTCACGTCAAGTGCTCAGTTCTACAAAGCTGGTGCCGAAGCATACGGTACTCTTAATTTCTGGGCTTACGTCCTCTGCGCTACGATAGCGTGTTTACTTCCGCGCTTCATTTTCAAGGTTGTGCAGAAGATGTACTTCCCCCTCGATGCGGACATCATCCGAGAGCAAGTCAAGCAAGGCAAATTCGACTACCTTAGAGACACTGACGCCTACCTTCCTCCACCGCCCGAGAAGGTGGCTGGTGAGTCAGACTCTAACAAGTCGGAACCCGACGCTACAAAGTACAAAGCCGCTAACGCCGATGCTACCGACGAAGACGTGCGTCCCATCTACCCACCATCAGTCGCCCCGACGGCTACGACGCATAACCCAAGAAGCCAAAACGGCAGTAACAGCACCGACTACACTTTTCGCCGCTCTACGGAAGGTCTTCCACCTGCACCCACAACAGAAGCTCAAGCTCCTCCTCCTCTTGCCCACCGCATGTCGACCGACTATCGTGTGCGACCGAGCTTCGATCGTGCACGCATGTCCATGGACCGTGTACGCCCTAGTTTCGAGCAAAGCAACGACTTTACATCGGCAGCTATGTTGACCCGACTTGAGTCGTCGCATAGCCGTAATAGCTTCCAAGGCCACCGGAACAGCTACCAACATGGTACTCCCAATACACAGCCAGCGGTCATGAGCCGGTTACGCAACGCGATACGCAGAGCAACAATAACACGGGACGAGGCTCCGGAACATCTACGTCAGGATCAAGAAGATGTACCGGATGTGCCCGCAGTACCCAAAAGCCCACCACGGAGTCCACGGAGCCCGCCCAGGTAGTACCTGCAGCGTCGGTAGGACGGGTGGACTTGTTTGCATACTACGCCTTACTGTTTTCCTACTTTGACGAGCCGTTACGACTCTTTTTTGTAAATAACCCATCATATTTCTCTTTCCTGTCACGTTTCGCATTATGCTAGCGAACTGACCATGTTCCTCATCCACACATTACTACTACCACTACTACGCTTTATTCCCTGTCTGCGGTTTTTTCTCACTTGATTAGAGACTGAATGGGCGTTTTCGGTTTTGCATTTTCCTCGCATGTATAGCTGTGATTCCCTCGTTGAGCTTTCCTTGTTTTACATCTTTCTCTGTCTACACTGATATCGGAGCCATGGAGGGGAGATACTCGATATGCTCATTGTGAGATGGATGGAGAGATAAGTGGTGATGAGCATGGCTGTAGATATTTTAATGATGTGTGGCTGGCCTGGCATTTTCTTAGGCTAGCCTCGACGTTTCGCAATATCGTGTTCTGCATGGATGGTTCGTGCGATGTGTGATGGAGTCAATAGTTTTCATGACTCTCAAGCTTTCAACACTTTCTTCGGTCTGAGTCTGTACAGTCATGGCATGCCCCGGACTCATCCAGCACCGCGTGGCTTCCTCTTTCGGCTCCAGCTTGCGTTTGCAGCCAATCCGCTGCTAGCGCGCTCTTTCAGGGTCCATCTGGTACACTCACACCCTAAGTTTACTCACAACCACAACATCGCCGGACAGAAGAGGCGTCAGTCACAAAGAAGATACCTGGACTCAACTCGGTACGTTACTAATATTTCCTTGATATTCATGCAACTAGAGAGGTTGTTGTCACGTTGTTGCTTGGTGCCTGGCGAGCGAGGGTAGTGCAACCACAAGAGCGTGTGGGTCACAACCGTGGAAGTCACGATTCACTGCGGATGCCTTGTATGCGACCACGTCGAGCGCTTTTACTCGGAATAAGAGTCGTAAGTTGCCGCAACTACCATACTGAACATTCCTACACTCACCCGGCAGATACCACCTTTTATTACTTTCACAACACGCGTCTTTCGCTACATCTTCATCGCAACGATTATTTACTACGTGCACAGACCTAGACATGGCTTTCGTACATCCCGATCGCGCGAAAAATGTTGGAGACGCAAGGGCGCAGGCTGGACGCGCGACTCCAGGCAGAGGACGTGCTGGAGACGTAGCACCTGCGCAAGGAAGGAACTGGAAGAGGGAGAGGGAGAGCTATCAAGACGAGCACTTTCCTGTGGGAGGAGGCGAGTTTCAGGCACCCGATGGATATGTTAAGCATTCAGGAAATCCACCCGATAACAGAGGGCCAGAGCATGCCCAAGGCCCAAGAAAGAAGGCGAAATCCGAGCATACCCCCGCGCCGCGTCCGAACGCTTTCGACGCCGATCACAACAAACGACCGAAAGTGGAAGTGTCAGTACCTCCGAAACGAAGTGACCCTCGAAAGAGAGGTTCGGGGCGACGCAATGATCAACTAGATAAGGCACTTCAACTCGCCCCGAAATATCCCGACCTCCAAGATATCGACGCATGGCGAAAACTAGCTCAGACGAACGAGCGGAGTTGGCAAGCAGAGGATGCTTTTGTATATCGGCATCTGCGTTTCGATCAGTGTCCTAAAGGGCTGGCGTTCAAAGAGTGGAAGATCAGAGTACATCGGGAGATGGAGGGGTTGGGCTTGGAACATCCATTTACAGGGCCGCAGACCAAGCATGCACCTGAGGATGAGGTCGACAAGAAGAGTGGCTCTGGGGTGACAGAAGCAACGGTCGCGACAGCGCAGAAAGAAGAAGAGAGCAAAAGACGCGTGGAAATGGAGAGGATGGTTGCGGATGACGGGTTTGACATTGACATCTACGGTGACGAAGAGACGCGGAGGAAGTATGAGCCGTGGATCAGGAGCCGGATGGATTGAGTGTAGATGTTTGGGGAGGCTGTCTCGCTTACTTGGGCTTTTGCATTGCGGCTTTGACGTAAGTCTTCGTTTGTTCTATGGCTAGTTTGGTTGCTTGGACGGATAGTCTTGATCTTACGACAGCTTGGAGTGACCAGTGGGGCCGCGGACGTACGTCATACGTGAATCATGATATTGAGCTGTTTGGCATCGATCTGAATGATTGGGATGATTCGCTAGTGTCACTCTTCTGATCTTGAGCATTAAAGCCACGTTAAAGGAAGCATCTTCGTGCGTTCGCGCGTAGCTTCCCAGCAGTCCGACGCATGCCCAGCCGCCCAAGACGTCACAGATTAGGAAACCTATCAGTACATGGGATCAGCATAAAAGCTATCGAGCCCACGGAATTAGCGAGAAAGATCTGTCCACATTGGCTCTAAAGCTTTCGGGATTTGCTTGTCCTGCATACGACCCACTGATGCGCGTCGATCAGCGAATCTGGTTCGCAGAGCCGCAATCTTGAAAGCTTACCTATGCTTAGGCGAAATCTAAGATTTCCAGAACCATACTCTTTGCGCTGCAATCTGCGATCGATTAGCGACTTCCACCTTGTTTCGAGTGCGATAACGATACCCGATTGGCGAAAGACAGAATACATGCTTCTTCATATCCACAACCTCGATCATCACGCAGATGCCATCACACAAAGAGTGACCTCATTGTGATAATGACGACCAAAAAAGAGGTGTGCGGAAGGATGACTAGGAAGCCTCGCGAAGCGTTCCATTGAAAGGCTGTGCTGTTGAGGCCATCTGGAAGATATACACTTGTGTGAAACCTACAGCTTTGGCTCTATAAACTCTTGTTCACATACATCATGACTACCGACAGGACGGACCAAGATTCTGCTGATGAGACGTCTTACATTGTCTCTCTTTCGAATTATGACACGCAGAGCTTGTGCTCGAACTACACATTGAGGCGCCACAAGTTTGAGACAGAGGCTAATGCTGGATGTCACGAAGCGAGGAAGGACTGGATAAAGTACATCGGGCCGATCGAACAGTTCGGGGGATGCAATCCCATCAATGGCAACTTCTCAGCTGTGGTGCTTCCACTTGCGAAGCCGGAGAGGCTGCGGTTGATTGCATATGTGCTTGAATGTAAGACGCCCGCTCCATACCACACTTCTCTGTGCCCTGAAGCCCTCGATCTTTAAAGTATTGTTTTGCTGACCACACATAGATGCATTCCTGTACGACAATATGATCGAGCTTGAGGAGTCAGATACGGTATGCCATAGGCCCAACAGTTCCTTTTTAAATTCAGATCGCTGATGGGTGTAGTCGGGATCCAACGACCACGAAAAGTGCGAGTGGAAGAACACGAACCCAGCACTAGGCAAAACGCAGATTCAAGCAAAAGTGATGACACAACTCGCATCTGTCGACAAAGCATGTACTGAGCGAGTCAAACACGTGTGGAAAGAGATGCTTGCCACGACCTTACGAGACAAGGACAAGTGCTTCGTCGACTTAGAAGAATATGTCGACTTCCGCATTGTCGACACCGGAGCGCCGTAAGTTTCTCTCTCACTGTGGACAAGCGAATCATAAGCTAATGTCGGTTTGAACAGATTCGTGGAAGCCATGTTACTCTTCGGCATGGGTATGACGCTCACTGAAGAAGAAGACCATCAACTCGAGCCAGTCCGCAAACCGTGCTACGCAGCTCTCGGTCTAGCCAATGACCTCTTCTCCTTCGATCGCGAGTACGCCGAGTTCAAGAACACAGAAACGACGCAAACGCTGATCAATGCTGTCTGGCTTCACATGCAATGGTACAATACGGATGTGCAAGAGGCAAAGACGATGACTTTGGAAGCGACGGGAAGATATGAGGAGCAATTTCTGAAGAGCTGCGCGGAGTTCCGGCAGCACAATACACCTATCTCGGCGAAACTAGACACTTATCTGGATGCGCTGGCTTATCAGGTCAGTGGCCATGTCGTTTGGAGCCTGAACTGTCCAAGGTATCATGCTGAGTACCGATACGACCCAAACAAGGGTATCGAGGACGAGATCACAGCTGATTTACTTCCAAAGAGCCTCGGTATCAAGTACAATGCTACTGCGATGCTGTTAGGCGATGAGAAGCAGGATGACGGCTCCAGGCGTTCATCTACTGACACGTCCCTCCATCTCTACGAAGACGATACCTCAACAACAAGAGATGATGTCTCAATCTCCTCATGTACATCTGTCTCCTCTTCGAGCTCGAAGACGAAAGACATGGACAAAACTTGTTTGCTGGGTCCAGAACATGTCGACGCGCCCTTCGAATACATCACTTCGCTTCCTTCCAAAGGTGTACGAGACACCTTCATCGACGCCCTCAACATTTGGCTCGACGTACCCGAACCTGTTGTGTCCCGTATCAAATCGCTTGGCAACCGTCTACACGCCGCATCACTCATGCTTGATGACATCGAAGACGGGTCTCATCTCCGACGAGGCCAGCCAGCAACACACACAGTATTCGGCACGGCACAAACCATCAACTCCGGGTGTTATGAGATCCTCCAAGCCGTACATGAAGCTCAGACATTAGGTGCAGCGGAGGCGAACATTGTCCTTGAAGAGCTCGCCGAACTGCACATCGGCCAATCTTACGACCTCTTTTGGACGCATCACAGCCATTGTCCGTCTGAAGACGAGTATCTGCAGATGGTGAAGAAGAAGACTGGTGGTTTGTTCCGATTGTTAGCTCGCCTCCTGCTTGTTTCTGCAGACAGTAGCGCATCGAAAGTCGCCTCAGATATCGAAATCGAGTGCCTAGTCAGTCTCATTGGGATGCAGTATCAGATTCGGGATGACTACCAGAACCTCCGGTCGCCGGAGTACAGCGCTCAAAAGGGCTTTTGTGAGGATTTGGACGAGGGGAAAATGTCGTTCCCGCTCGTTCACGCTTTGAACAGCTGTGAAGATGACACGTTGTTGCGCGACCTTCTTCAACGGAGTCGAGACATTGGATGTCTATCGGATGAGCAGAAACGGCTTGTGCTAGAACAACTCGGTCATTTAGGGGAGTATGGTGTACACGCGAAAGACGTTAATGCGGCTACAGAGCCATATTTATGATGACCTGAAGGGAATTGAAGATGCCACAGGGATGGAGAATTGGATCATGAGGGCGTTGTTGCAGAGATTGGAAGTGTGTGACGAGACATGATTGTTGGTATACCTTTTGCGTAGATATCCCACACTTTACGAACGTATATTAACATGGTCACATCAACCTGTCCGTAAGTTTGTTCTTGACCGGGTTTGGTGCCGTTTTCCCTGGATGTATTGCTGTAGGCGCGCACGTGTGCGTCACATCGCGACCTTGGAAACGCCAAGACTAGGCAGTGCTTGAACAGAACTTTGGAGGCTCACATTCACTTGGACTTCTACGCTCGCCTTGCGCAGAAATTGCGACACTTTAAATCTCTGAACCGATCACGAAACCTCGCCCGCTGCCTCTCGACCGAGCCCACTGCTACAACAACTCACACCTCTTGTTCTGTGCTGCCAATTCACACAGCGATGTCGCTCACAAACATGGCCATGACCACAGACCCCGAAAAGGCAGAGCAAGAAGCTGGAGGCCCGGTTCAATCACGTCGCGAGAGCGCGGAAGAGTACAAGCCGCCTGCTCTCCCTCTCCAACAAGCACTTCCCATGACCGGTGGCGATCCAGGCGACCCAAAGCCAGCTGATGCAACATCCAGCCTCATACTCCACGAGCCAGAGATGGCTTATAACTCCAAACAATCCATCGCTCGGAAAGGTAGGGACGAGGAGCTTCGACTTGCACAGGTGGACATCAAGGCCAGGCTCGATGAAGTGGACAGCGGTCTGCGCGAGCTGAAAGCGAAGCTCAAGGCCAAGGAAGATCTTATCACAGCACGCCGCAATTTATCAAAACACGCCGCCGCTGCAGAGAAAAAGTTGAACATCAAAATCGAGAAAGCGAAAGAGCAGATAAGCGCCAGGGAGGAGCAAGCCGCGTTGCGCCGTACCAAAAAGAACAACATGCGCGAGAAGTGGGCCCAGAAGCAGACGACGGACTACGAGCAGCGAGAGGCGAAACGCAGCGAGCAAACACGACAGGAATCAGAGATGGACGATGTTGAGAAGTTGGCAAGCGCAGGAGCTGTGACGGAGCCTACCGACTGGGACGACTTCGATATCGATATCTATGACGAATAGGGCTTGGATGAAGAGCATGGCCTAGCTCTATCCATCTCAATTGCCGTGTCAAGATGGACTGGTTGATGAGACTTTGGGACTGCTGCACACGTAGTATTTTCTTGCGAACTGACGATGCGTTATTCTGGTTGCGCTACTTGCGACACAGAGCTCGGATGCTACTCATGTCGAGTCAGGATATTGTACGATCCCTTACCATGTATGAGAGAAAGACATAGACGCTGTGCTCTCGCAACATGTCTCCAGTCGTGAAGAGTGAATGCCCTGAGTGTAGCCAGGCCGGAGCTGGGTGAGAAACGCGCTAGTGTGTGGACGCTAACCAATCGTATACTAGCCGATCTACGGGCATGTATGTCATCATCGATCGCGTCCCGACCACTTTTCGCGTAGCTCGTGAAGTATCACCGGAATGTCGCGACCATGGCATCTCTCACTGTCTTTCATACATACCCGTCGCGATGCCGCCGTGGTCATTGATCTCACCTGCCTCGCGAGGCATAGGCTTCGCGCTCGCAAGACGGGTGTTGCAAACCACAAACGCGCCCGTTGTCGCAACGGCGCGGAAGGACCTTGACAAGACCAAGGAGGAGTTGCTCGATGGCTTGGATGTCGACGAGTCACGACTGTCGGTGATGAAATTGGATGTTTTGGGTATGTAACCAGCATTAATGGTGTTGTGTGTACAATGATGTTCAAGTGTTGACCACGTTTCAGACGAGACGACTATCGCAGATGCCGCGGCGGCTTGCAAGAAGCAGTTCGGCGGTAGCCCCAGTCAGCTTCAGCTCGCGCTGATGGTTCCTGGTATTCTTTTTCCGGAGAAGTCACCAGCCCAGATCAACGCCGACGATGCCTTGCTCACTTTGTGAGTAATACCGCTATGCCAGGTTACGTGATACATGTGCTGATCTGATATACCAAAACCCAGCCGCACCAACACTTTAGGTCCAATGCTGATGCTCAAGCACTTCTCTCCCTTCCTGCCAAGGAAGAGCGCAGTCATCGATAAGAACGAAGAGCACATGGCAGGTTTACCTGATGTAGCTACGATAGCTATCATGTCAGCTCGAGTCGGCAGCATCAGCGACAACCGCCTCGGAGGATGGTACAGCTATCGCGCTTCAAAATCCGGTGTCAATCAGGTAGTCAAGACCTTCGACAACCATCTGAGGACTGCTTCTGGCGACAACGCGATGGCGGTTGCCTTGCATCCTGGAACTGTCAAAACAGGGTTGAGCAAGGACTTCTGGAGCAACGTCAAGAAGGAAAAGCTATTCGAGCGCGACTGGGTCGCAGAAAGGCTGATTGATGTGATCAGGGAAGTGGCGCCTGAAGGACGGGGGAAGTGTTGGGACTGGGATGGGAAAGAAGTTCCGCCTTGAGACACATACAGAACGCAGGCGCAATCCAATCCCGCCTACTATAGGCATCAACAAAGCCACCCTCTCTTCTCTCTCGCAGCACTATCATATCCGCCCCAACCACCGCTTATTTCACCAGTAGCACTTCTTTTGGCCTTCGTTACCCGACCAGCACACCTTAGACCCATCGCTACCATGGCAGCTCATCCTTTCTCGCAAGACGTAATCGACAACTTGGACGACATGTCTGCAATTCTGCACATACACACATACGACGAAAAGCTACTCCAATCACTCGCTATCGGGCCCACAGAATGGCAGCAGATTTCGGAACCGATCGACTCGACGCATACAGGTCAGCAGCTTAGTCCAGGACAGTACGCATACCATGCTTCTGGCTCAGACAAGACCACCCTGGAGGAAGCTCATGTCTGCACTACTCCGACTCCCGCACAGCATATAGCCCAGCCATCAACATCCTTCCTCGAGACATTCCAGGACAGATACGGGAAGACGCAGATGCCAACCTATCCAAACACGCCCAACCCTCGTCTACCGTCACAGATCCCCAACTGCAAGTCCGCCGCCAATACAGAAAGAGAATCTATGAAAACAAGTGCAGCGCGGTCCGGAGGATTGCCTACAACACATGGCAACGAATCTGCAAATCCTCTCTTGGGCAGTTCCGAATCTGTAAATACTGGCGACTCCATCCAAAGGGTACCACGCGTCTCAGTAGTTTCCGGGGCGTCGTCAAGAGAGGGTACAAAACTCTACCCAGGTAAAGATCAGAATGTTAAGCGTCCAAGTCCTCGATCAGGAGTCATTCACATGACCGCCAAGACATGTAGGTTAACACTCTCTCCTACTTGTGAGAGTTCTTGCACTAATCAGTCGCAGTCAAGCCATTTCCGTTGTCAGCGTACCTACGTCCATATCGTCGTCCGATCCCTGTCGAAGCGACACCAGATAATGCGGTTCCCATTACCATATTGGACGAACCAGACCAGAAATTCCCCATCCGCGACGAACACTGGCATTCTGTTGCCGTTATCAAGAAGTCTATAGCGTCTTTTTGGGCCGACATACATGAGCCGAGAACTGAGAAGCCGGTCAGCCCTAAAGATCCTGTTTTGAACGACGCATCACTTCAAAAGCCTGAGCTTCGAAGACAGTTGACACCAGAAAGGTCGCGCTTGGAAACACTTAAATGCGAGTTCGCAAAGTATCGAATCCGAAAGCACCATGTTGCGCCGTTGCCAAGTCAGCAATACACAAGGTCCAAACAGAACTTTTTCATCTGGGCAAGTCGGCTTGAAAAAGACAAGAAATTGGTAGAGGAATATCGTGCGTTTTTGGCCTCAGTAGACGACGACATACAACCGGCCACAACTGGTAAACTTCGAGGCGGCGCTGGAACACCTGGGCCTTCGAGCGGTGGGCCCCAAGGAGAAGACGACGAGTTCGACGACGACATGCCAGCAGGTGATGATTTCTACGACTCCACTGAGGTTTCTCCGATCACACCCGAACAATATGTTCTACCTGGATCCCCCGGTTCTGTAATGTCGGGTTATTCTTCTTCTTCCGACCTATCAGCCGCTGCATCTGAGCACTTCCATGAACAGAATGAACTACAACAAACCTTTGATGATGCAGCCGCGGCGGCTGGACCATCCGGGCACCCCTCAGATAGGCCTCGGCACGACAGTGACTATTTTTCCCGTAGTCCACGTCTCGGCAGCCCATTTCAATTCGAGAATGCGCCGCTCACTGGGACCCGTGCTCCGTCCAGGTCACACAGTATGGACATCGAGCCCTATACAGGACCGCCCAACGACAGCACAAGCTCAATCGAGCATACTCCGTATGAAGGCCCAAGCGAACGTCAGCCTCTAATCGGCGGCCATGTTCCAGGCGGGGTTCCGCCTCCTGGATACACTTACGATGGTGGGCCTCCTGGATACACGTATCATGGTGGGGAAGAGGATCCCCCCGTGGCACCTCAACCCCCCGTGGCACCTCAACCTCAGGTGGAACCTCAACTCCCCGCATGGCGACGCCGACGGAACAGAGCGATTCAGGCCGTCAGAGAGTATCGCCTTCGTGTAGCGCGCGCACAATTGACGCGGTTTGGCAGGAATCTGCTCGTTCTGGGTAGACAAAGTGGGAAGGCTATACGCAAAAAAGACAAATGATGGACTGGCGTTGAGGGCACTTGTATCGTGAGGTTTTTCTTTAGCGTTATTGGGTATGCATGCAGATAGCTGGTCACATTGACCAACCAATACACTTCAACGTGTATAGCTATCTTCGTGAGAGTGTCAAAGGTACACATGTCTACCAGCCAGCTCGTCGTCTTTGCAGGTCCACTGTGACTATGAACTACCTTGAATCGGTTGTACTTGCGTCGATTTGTGACTTGGCGAGTATCTGGAGGTCTTTCATCGAACTAGGCATGCATACAAAATTTCCCTCTATTTACAGGTCAGAAGGCTGACACGTACATGTATATAGCGTTTTGGGTACATAGAGATATCGTTTCCTAGGGGAAGAACGCAAGGCCTGCCTTACTAGTGGCGCGATCTCGGAGTTGAGCTTCCCCAGAGCGGGGCACCCCGCTCCTGCCTGAACAATACGTGCAGCGTGCACCATCATCTAACCGCCCCGCGCACTTGGAACTCAATGTCCCGAATAGCGAGCCCGATATTGTCTACTTCCCTTTAGAGGCTTGATCTCATTCGCATTGTTAAGTGCAATGATGGTATGTAACTCGAAGCCTGTGCTATTTGACGACAGGCAGCTTGCATCCAGCCACGTACATGCGTTCCACTGAACGCGACACTGGATTTCTGGAAAGCTTCGCAGGGCGACGGTTATTGAGCTGGGTCAAAAAGTTATTCAGCTAGGTGGATCTCTACCTTTTCTTTGTAGTTTTGCGCAGCAACAGCGCAAGGTTTTAAAAATTCCTTAAAATCTAAATTATAGAAGAGAACCTTCTTTATAATTCTGCCTTTTTAGAATATCTAAAACCTTACGCTGTTGTTGCGTAAAATAGCAGAGAAAGGAAAGAACTTTAATTTTCTTGCAAGGCACTTGCAGGCAAGAAAAGAGCTAAGTCTTTTAGAGTTAGCTTATCTCTATTAGGCCTAGCGCGTCTACTTTAGGCTTAACACACCCAGCGGAATAACTTTTTGACCCAGGAGAATAACCGTCGCCCTTCGCAGTACCTGATCACCAGGCACGGAGAAACTTTACGTCAGCGGGCGCATTCTCGAGGATCGACATACATTTCTCCGCAATCTCTATGGAGCCTCGGATCTGGGAAGCTCATTAAGCCCGGTGGCTCTGCAGCTCATCGTATATTCGCGTCACCTTGCATAACGGTTAAAATACGTTGTATGGTCCATGACAACAGCAATAGCACGGCGGAAGCAGTCTGGCTAAATGGGCACAGTTTGGTACGCGAGACGGCCGTCGATCGCGCTTCCCCACAGCAGGCGAGTATCAGCCTCTTGGTTGCAAGGTCGACGGTACGCATAAAGCATCCCCCATCGCCGCGTACAGGGTGGACTCTGTCGAGATCCTCTGGAATTCTTCAAGATGCGGTTTCTACGAAGCATCGTGACAGCTGTCCTCGCATGCGCAGCTCCAACGCTCGCGCAGAACTCAACGTACCTCAACCCAGTACTCCCAGGTTGGCACAGCGATCCATCATGCGTCAACGTGAACGGAACGTTCTTCTGCGTAACTTCCACCTTCATATCCTTCCCCGGGCTGCCCATCTACGCATCGAAAGACCTAGTCGACTGGAAACACATCAGCCACGTATGGAACCGTGAATCCCAGCTCCCAACTTACAGCTATTCCAGCGATGGTCAGCAAAGAGGCATGTACGCAGCGACTCTGCGATTCCACAAGGGTGTTTTCTACGTCATCTGCGAATATCTCGGATCGGATATGGAGGCAGGTGTCTTGTTCAGGACTACAGATCCTTTCGACGACGCGTCGTGGAGCGATCCAGTGACGTTCGAAGCTCCCAAGATCGATCCCGATATTTTCTGGGATGATGACGGCAAGGTGTATGTCGCAACTCAGGGAATCATCGTGCAGGAGATGGACATCGATACTGGCGAAATGGGACCTGTCATTTCGCTCTGGAATGGCACCGGCGGCGTTTGGCCCGAAGGCCCACACTTCTACAAGAAAGACGGATGGTATTATCTGTTGATTGCTGAGGGCGGAACGGCTGAAGACCACTCAGTCACCATGGCTCGCGCCAGAAACATCACGGGCCCTTACTCTCCCAGCCCATACAACCCACATCTGACGAACCGTGGTACATCAGAGTACTTCCAGACCGTCGGTCACGCAGACCTTTTCCAAGACAACAACGGCGAATGGTGGTCTTGCGCGCTCGCGACGCGCGTGGGTCCAAATGGTACATCCTTCCCCATGGGGCGCGAGATGGTGCTCACGCCAGTCACATGGGAAGAAGGCGAGTGGCCCGTCTTCCAACCTGTAAGAGGCAAGATGACCGGCTGGCAACTACCTGCGCGCTCAAGAGATGTCCCCGGTGATGGACCCTTCAACTCGGACCCAGACGTTTACGACTTCCCTCAAGACTCGACAATTCCACGCAACCTCGTCTACTGGCGTGTACCTCGCGAAGGCGCATTCAAGACTTCGCAAAAGGGTCTGCAAGTCGCTCTTGGTCGCAACAATCTCGCTGGCTCGCCAGGCGGGTCTGACCCAGCTTCAAGGGCTGTGAACTTCATCGGGCGCCGTCAGACGGATAGCACGTTCAAGTTTAGCGTAGATCTATCCTTCGACCCGAAAGCTGATGGTGAAGAAGCTGGTGTGACCGCTTTCTTGTGGCAGACAGCAAACATCCAGCTCGGACTCATGCGCAGTAATGGGTCGACATATCTGCGTTACAACTCTACGGAACATCAGGAGAAGAAGACGCCTGTACCCGCGTCTTGGAACGGAAAGCCGATGCGCTTCGAGATCACGATGCCGGATCCAAGGACTTATGTATTTTCGGCTATGCTAGCGCACGGCAAGTCAAGACCGATCTCGTTTGGCAGAGCCTCAACAGAGCAACTGAGTCCATCGGGCTCTTTCGTAGGAACACTCATCGGTGTGTATGCTACTTGCAACGGAGCTGGTTCAGGTCTAGATTGCCCAGCTACCACCCCCAATGCATACTTCAGAAGGTGGAGGTACAAGGGTATCAGACAGTACATCTCCGAGACTGAGAGTGTGCGAAGCGAAGACTTCAATCAAGGTAGATAAAACCTTAGTCGAGGTACCAACAAAAAGTGGTGGAAGACTGTATAAGATTACATCGAGTGGGAGCTATCGTGAGACGTCTCACACTGTAGACCCAGATAACTCTTTCAAGCAAACGTAAACCAGATCTGGCTACATCGTGCTACGCATGGATGTGAGTACTGAAAAGGTCAGAGGAGTGAGCATTCATTTCTAAACACTCTATTCCCACCATTGTACCAGCTGATAGCAAGGCTGAAGCCATCTCAATGGCCGCATATCCATCATGTTTTCCGCCTTATTCATGCCGTAACATCTCTTGTTTTGCTTACGCGCCTCGGGCGAGTGAATAGATGAAGTATCGACCCATTCTGCAATTACCTACAGGACACGTAAAACAATATGTTACAGAATCGATGTGTCTGGTCGATCCGTGGTATCCCTTACACGATCGAGGCTTTCAGATCGACGTAATTGTCCACCAATTTCGAGCCTCTCACGTACATCTCACTTGTTCATGGAGAGTTTTACTAAGCCTGCGGACGATTTCGTATGGCAAGGTCCCACCTCCCACGTGGCTTCCTTTCTTGCAAAGATGCTTGGTAAGATCGCCACTTCGAAACTTTAGTTACTGCCATTTTCCAAAGTTTGGCTCGCACATCGATCTGCTATAATTCAGGGGCGCCAGCATGGAATGCTACCATGATCTCTGTTTGCTCTACGGTCACGCGCCAGTCTCTGCCTTCATTTGCGCTCTCACTCCGACTTTACTCGCAAGCTCTTGTGTTGACGATACTTCTCTTTTTTCGAGAGGACCTGATTGGATGGGTACATATGGATTTCGGAAGTTGTGAGTCGCTCGTCTGCGTCACGTCACCGCAGTACCATGGAACTTTACTCGCGCTCTCGCCCCACCTTTACTTCGCTCTTACCCTACCTTCACTCTCCACAGCCATATATATTCTGTTTGCGCTTCTCTTTCTTTTCTTCCTTATTCTTTCTTTCTTTACCAAAGACAGTTGTTTTTCCAAAAACCTACTCTCGCCACTCCTCTTCTTTTTCGATGAATCAAAACCACACCTCCGCCCATCATGGGTCTACCGGACGACATTTTGTCAGAATGGGTCCTGGCCAACGTCAAGAAGTATGATCGCACGCTTGTTGGCGAACCGGTCAACGGTACCAGAAAAATCTCCGGTCAACTCATGTCACCTCCGGATACTGTGATGGCATCCAGCGCGTCATCCTGCTCTGTGCAAGTCGCACAATCACATCCTGACCTCGAGGTACCACTCCATCTGTACTCCATGCAGGCGTTCGAATTTCTAGGATTCACGTCAAGCGCTGCAGAGTCGCTCCTCGCTACCTGGACCCGTGACGACGAAGCCGACCTCGAAGACGTGATCATCCGTCGCATTACGTACTTCAGCGGTCATGAGTCTGATGACGAGCGGACCATTATGAGTAGAATCGGAATTTCCGCGGAACTACAAGAGAAGGTCATGGACCGTGAGTATGAAGACGTGAGAAGCACCCAGTCGTTGAGTTACTGGTTACTGGAGACTATGTTCGAAAACCTTTGGACTCTCAAGAATTTGAATGAACGACTTCACCGAAACCTGGCTGTTATTCAGTCCGGTAAGACCCCGTTCGCTTCGCTACGTGGCGGCGCCCCTGAGGACAGGTCAAAGTACCACTTGACCCGAGTTGGTCATTCAACTCTCTTCCGGTCAACGTCAGCAGCACAACTCGAGAGTGTCTTCACGCAACGCTCGCTTGAACCCACACCTTATACAAGGGAAAAGCTCAACAGCCTGGAGCATACGTCAACGTTGAGCCAACTACTTTGCACGTTTTTACCTTGATGTCGGCTCTAGGGTGTCCGGTTTTTCCCTTGAATGGGGTACCCAGGGCGAGAACGCGACTCGGGCATATGCATTGCTGTGTTGGGATTCGGCGGGGCCAATTCGCATTGAGCAAGGTTGAAGCAAAAGACAGGGCATGAAGATGCAATAGCCTCAGAGATGGCGAAGGATCGCCGTGATGGCCGTTATGAAGATGTGCATCCTGAACGATCCTTCTGAGCTCGGATATCCCAGGACATCTCAAGACAACGTGGGAAGCTCGTTGAGCCGCGTACGCTTCCGGAGACTTGTAAAACCTGTTCGAGGTAGCATCCAAGTGAAAGCCTCTATGCCTCATAGCTACAAAGACACCAAATGATACACATACGCGGATACGCCCGTGTTTCTGCAATACGTGTGACCTAGCAATGAACCGTACATAGCATAGAGCCTGTCTATCTCTATGCGACTTGAAGATGAGCAATTAGCAGCCTCAATCTATCATGCCTGCAAGTGGCGCAGTCTCATTAGACGCAAAGAACTTGCTGTGCCGCTTCCATCGAGTCATAATCATACTGCGCATGTCAAGCAGTGACACGGTGAAGAAACCGCAACAGCCCACCCAACATGGCACAAAACATCTCTCGTCCCACGTCCCATCTCCCACTAACAAACTTCGCACAGCCTCCCTCCAACCTCGCTCATCCCCTCGCACCCCGCGTCACCAGAAAGGAAAATCGGCCAAACCGCCCGCCTGCCCTCGTCCCAATCTCCACTTTAACCTGACATGTTGCGGTCCGCCGCATGAACCCAGATCCCTACCGCACGCACATGGCTCCCCAGCGAGGCCGCCAGCCAACCTAACCCCTTTTCCGCTGCAAGAAACACGGTACGCTAGATCCTTGGGGCCGATGCTACAGGGCGCTAAGAGGAGAGCAATGGTGTGGGCAGTGGGCACGGAGAGGGTCAAGCACAGGGTAGGTCAGGGCTCCTTCCCGCTGCTCACCGCTGGTTTGTTGGTGGAGGGGGGAAGGGAGGGGAATGGTGCATGCAGTGAGTTTTTCCTCTAAGCGCTGAGAGCTTGTGGGATGTAGCATGTGGAATTAGAATAGTGTTGTTACATGGACGAAGGAATGGCGTGGTGTGGTAAGCATGCTGATAGCTTAGGAAAGCACGCCAACAGGGGTAACAACACGATCGGCCCATGCGGCGTAGTTCGTTGGCACTGGCAAAAGCTCAAAGTCAAGGCAAGTGCAAGGCTGCTTGCTTCCCGTCAGGCGATGATGTGTGATGGATGTGTGATGGGAACGCAGATTTCGACACGCGAGCACACACACACACACACGGCTCGGGCGGCGGAACTGATGGGGTCGCAGGCGTACGTGGCACATTTGACATGTCGGTTACAGCATGCCATGCGTGGTTGCAAGGGATGGCACGGAGGAAATGGGTCCAGGGTGGGAATCCTTTCTGCCGGGCGGACAGCGGCAAGCAACAGCACAGCACCTGGCTAAGCCAGCCAGAGGGAAAAAATGACTTGTGGAGGCGCGTCGTGTGCTTGCTCCCGAATGCAAAGCACGCGCAAAAAAATTGCAACCGTGTGTTGTTGCCAAGGGAGCGCGACGGGCTGTGCGATGTGCAAGCAGGATCAGGATCAAAACTGCCTTGAACGCGCTTGAGGGTTTGACTTTCGCTTTCGTACCCCAACGGAACCTTTTTTTTCCATTGGTCAGCACTACATTTTCTCACTACAGATTACACCAAGGGCTTCGGACTTGCTCCGTCCGAGATGCGATTGCGAAGCCCAAAGGAAGGAAGACAAAGAGCGGTACACTAACATGACTTGTACAAGGAAGGGAAAAGGTCAGGGCTCGCCCGTTGCTCGACTCAGTCTAGGCGGCTATTTGCGACATCGAACATCCCGGCTCGAAACTTCTGCTCGCACCGTCCCGTGACGGGCAACGACTATTTAGCTTGACCACGTCCGAATTCGGAGTTAGAGGGGGTTACCGAGCACGTTCGTTTCGCACAACAGCGATTGACCCTATAGATGTGTGAGGGATTACTATATTACGATCGGCTGAAAGCGAGTCGCATACTAGAAACGACCCCTGGTCCCGGCTGGCTTATGAGAGCAAGATAATTCTTGCTCGACTGAAACGCTGACAGGCTAATGTTGATTCGTGACATGTTGTTGCCCACGATATACTTTTCCAGATTCGAGTACATCGCCGCAACCCTGAACCATGGAAGATTGACCTATCTGTCTGCCTGAAGGAAAAATTGAGTGGTGCGATATATGTCAGCTGAATAGTGTCCGTGATGGCGGCCCAGGCAAAGAAAGTATGCGCGTCGAGGCAGGCAGATAGCGGTACGCTAAATCACTTTAGAACCAAACTCGACCTTTTTGCTTCTTTGCCCTGCATGCTCTGGCAGTTCTCATGACGGAGTTGTCTCCCCTTGTGGCAGCGAATCAAACAGGTCCTGCCTGCTCGCACCGTTCCGTTAGTCAAGGTCGTGTTTGAACGGTACGCTATAGCGGCCAAACCATGCAACGGCCAGCGTGTCAATAGCCAGTAGATGTGAGACATGCGTATGGCCAAGCCCTTCGTTCGTTAGGTCAACATCGGCGGAGTGCGATCCAGAACCTGGCCTCTGGTACGATGCTGCACCGCGCGGCATCTTGAGGGCACAGAAGAGTAATAGAGGCTCTGGGCTCATCAGCTGGCCAAGTGGTATCGTGGTACGCTAGAAATCTAGAGCCTCAACTGATGTCTGGTGGCATTTGGTGCAAGTGCATAGTAACATCGAGCCATCATCGGACGATGGTAGTCCACCCTGCGTCTGAGCCGCGAGACACAATCGTGATAGTGGTACTGGTGAGATCATGTTGATTACATCGTGCATGCCAGGACGCGCCGTACCGCGAGATGACAGACGGCGACGTTCTAGTCGACGGGCTGAGATGATTCCATTTGGCTTTCTACCGTGGAACCCATCACGTCCCGTGCCGATGTAGTTCGAGACTGACAGATCGAGACTTGCGTGGTAGCAGCGCTCCGGCTCGCCGAGACCCCGAGGCCGTACCGTGGTAGAAGTGCTGTGCGGTGCCTTTCCGTGTATGCGTAATTGAATCATGCACGTACACCTGTCAGGCAAGTGTCAGTGAAGACTTGGTATGGTAACGGTACAATCGATACCAAAACAAAGTCCGCCCCATGGGATTAAGATCGGGGCGTGGAGGTGGCTGAATCTGATTGACCTTTGTTTTTGGATGGGACGTGTTGCCCTGGAAAGGAAAGCACAACACGTGCGTACCCGCGCTCGTGTACCTACCATCGGTTGCCCTGCGTGGCTTGTCATGCGTAACGTGCCATGTGATTTGCATGTCAAAATTCTTCACTGACACATGTCTTGGCAATACCGTCGTACAAGGGGCAGGCTGGTTGGCGTGGCAGGCAGGAGCGATGGGTGAGCATGACAGATCGACCTGGGCATCAGAAGTGGTTCGACGGGTAGGATCAGCTCGGAAATGCGGCATTGAACATCAGCACATCAGCACTGACGTGCTCCAAATGCAGTGCGCCGTTCATCACGGCATGCAGAGGGTCGAGCAAGTATTGCACCAGCAAACGTCTCCAATTTAGATAGCTAGTAAAGAAAAAAGGAGACTACGTACAAGACGATGCGCGAAACGTTCGCTTTCCCAAAGTGCTTTGCGATTTAAATCAGATTGCCACCCACCAGTAATAGTTCCCATATAGACTTTCAGATGCGGTAGAGACAGGCCGAGAAGGGGAATACCGCGCAAAACCAGCGTAAAAACGTACGATAGGAAAAAGGTACCAAAAAGCACAAGCGACCACTACCCCAGCCAATATGCAGCGAAGCACATGAATGCCGGACCCAACCCACGCTACGATGATGCAAATATCAACGAAGCCTCCATGTGATGATGCAACCCCAGTTCTAATGTTTGCGGGAAAAGACAGAATAACCACCCAGTGTAGTAGTTTGGGTCACTCGAGAAGGAAGACCGGGAGGGACAGTAGGATGATCCGTGAGTATTAAAGTAGAAAACGTTGAAAGATCTTTGTCGCTCTTGAAGATTCAGATAGCCGCCCAGAAATCACGCTGTTGCCAGCCAGAACTCCTTGCGATAGCAAACGTCGATTGGACGCGAAGATAGATTGTACATTGGAAAGCAGTAAACGACGGCTGACAGATTCGATGGGAAATTTTGCTCTTTGCTCTTCGCTTAATCCGAAATGTGTAGCGCTCTCGAAAGACCAGCTCCAGAGCGTCTCCACTTGCGCGAGGCAGATTTTTACATGGGGCGGCGGTTGAGCATGTTGAGCATGGACGAATCGGTCGAGCTGCGGGCGGGGCCATTATCGCTTACGAGATCATTGATGCGCATGCTGGGCCTAGCCGAGGCTTGCGATGTAGGTGGCGGTGGGGTTCTGCCATCGGTGCGCGCGGGTGGTGGCTGCAAGACGCCGTTGGCCTGCGGTGGAGCTGCGTAATAGGGCGTGGGCGGGGCGCCGGGGGTCGTGGGTGCTTGCGAGTGTGGCGAGGACGAAGTGCGACTCGGCTCGTAGCGATAAGCGCTCTGTGGGGAGCCTTGACGCGGAGGCTGAGCAGCGTAGTACGGTTGGGCGGGGGGAGGCGCGGATGAGTAGGGAGCGGGGGTCGATGCTGTTGAAGCGCCCGAAGTTAGAGACGGTGGCTCTGGATAGGCATAATCTTGCCCAGTGCCTCGATGAGGGGCCTGTGACGCTTGGCCAGGATGCGGCGGAGGCAGGGTAGGAGTGTGAGGCTCTGGGTGGAGTCTTTTCCTGCCTGCCAGCGCGTCACGGGTCGCCTCATCTGGAGAAGCACTAGGCGGACCATAGTCAGAATGAGCTGGGTACGGACCTGCAGTGGGGCTGGGCAGATAGTGCGGCTGGCGCGACGGCTGGCCATATGGCTCGGCGTGGCTGGCAGGAGGGAGAGGCTGCCCGTAGGCGCCGTACATGGGC